AAAATAAAGAGCAACTCCATTGTGGGGGAAATATTGGTCAACTGTCAACGATAACCTGAGGGGCCAACAGCGCCGGCGAAACGAGCAACTAAAGAAATCAACGAGTACAATGCACTGATGGAGTTTTTAGTTTAATAGTATTAGTGAACGTGTTAAAATATCCTTTTCAATTTCTTCATAAGAAAATGTTCTTACAAAATTAAGTTGAAGTTTACAAAAGAAATTCATCAGGTCGAATAAACAAGAATTGATATTTAGCATATTTTTCACTGACAGAGCTTAGAGTCTTTACAGCGCTTGCTTTATTCCGTAAGAGTGCAATTATCGCCATCCCTGGGTACAAGAGAAATTTTGTTATCGTAATACTGTCAGTTGCTACTTTATAGTTGTTTAGAAAATAAGAAATTTTCAGCCTTTTAAGTGATACTTAAACTGGGCGACGTGGCCCTCTTAAAATAGCTTGGGGCTCTCAAGATCCAGATGAGAAGAAATAACCCAAATATACAATGCAAAGCAGGGCTTAGCAACTACTTAAAAACGTTAACTCCGTAAAAAAAAAAAAAAAGAAAAGAAAACTTCGGTAATAGATGATAAATTGGCTAGAACCAATCAAATACACTAGGTACTGTAAAGAAAGAAAGAAAGTAAAAATAAAAACGCGAATGGGAACCCCAAGAAAAGAGGAATTATCAGCCGTGCATCCCAAAATATAATGACTACACAGATCGCGAAAATTCGACAAGTTTGTACCGCACTTACTAACATCAACATATCAGTTTAATAATGTATCAATCAGCAAATCAAAAAAAATCCTTTTTAATCCCACTGCACCTAATATCTCTTTTCTCAAAGCATGAAAACCGCTATAAATCGTTTTTAAATGGCTTAAAGTCTGTTCTTGCTGATTATTTGCTGGACACTCTCCCACATCTACTAACTAGCCATTGTACAAAGTGTCTCAGAGATTAACGCCACATTTTATTTCCCAAGAATATGGGCCAGACTGCATATAATGCAATTTAGGCACAGTGGAGATTGTGTGTGCACTAAATTCCGTCGCAGTTTTGAGTTGTGCGAATGGAATTCCCCCCATTACGGTTTGGTCATATATTATCAGCAATAGTAGCCGAGTATTCCATTAGTAGTTCTATTATCAGGTTTAATATTCTAACAGGATTTGGCAAAGCTAAAGGGCTTATTAGATATCCTTGGTCGTATTTTTAGGGGTACGTTCATAATTACCGAATTGAAAGGAAAATAAGCTATCTCGATCGTTTTCGGACGCGTTTGCAAGATAATATCTAAATTTCAGTGTTCATGCAGCTTATTAGTCAAGAGTGATTTTACTTAACCCGTGAAATAGCCGGTAGTAGAATAAAACGCAAAATTATGCACTAATTCTATTGTCTTGTTTTGTTAATTTGCAGCTATTTTGTACTACTTGTTATTAACTTTTTCAAGGTTCAAGTAAAATCATTCTATATATGTCATAAATGCACTGAATATTAGCTATAAAAGTATTAATATAAACATTGTCCGGTTTTCACATGAGAATCATTTTTATTTATTTAATATTCTTTAAATTCACACCATCGATCGAGTGCCCTCTGATGGCAATATTAAAATAAGCTATGCCTGATTTATAGTCTTTGCTTAAAAGCCTCTTTTCACAGTTATTCGTTTTCATCTTTTTTTACAGCCACTTTATTTCAATTATATTTTAATATTGATTCACTACGACGGGATATTCTTGGAAGCAAGGACTTTGTACGAAGATTAAAATCTGGTACGGTCACTTGGAAAAAGCTGTCACACATCACGAAAGTAGAGGCAAAACAAAGAAAAGACAATACACAGCCTTTCATTAACCTTTCTCTGACCTCAGAATGAAACAAAAACTTTGAGAGAGGTAAATAAAATTAATAACGTCTGCATTGCAAGGGGAAACTCCCTTTATAAAACTCATACATTGTATCGCTGCTCAGCGCGACATTTCCCCGTAAGGTGGAATTAGGGAGTATCCTCTCCCTACCTGGAGCATACAAATGAGTGTATTTGATTAAGATACTCAAGAGCCACCAGGCTTTCTTTTGAGGTGTCTCGTGGGCCACTTTCAAACCATGGACTTACATATTTTGCGCCTTGCGCCTTGCGCCTTTTCAACACTAAAGAGAATAAATTAAACCTTGTTTATACAGTACACAAACAATAATTCCGGTTTTTCCAGGGCCCCCTTACTAGATCTCGATCAGGTCAGGGTCCGAGTGAAGTTTGAAGTTTTTAAACTTCTTAAAAGAAGTTGATAGGTACTCGTCTTTGATGGCCTCAGTTTTTAATAGATCAGAGGACAATTTGCGAAATTTTCGGCTGTTAAGTGCTAAAAAGATTAGTGGCAAAGTACTCGAGCGATACAGGCAGCCAGGTACGTGTACTTTCGGTGCAAACGAATATGATGATAAAGCAACGTTCCGACAATAATCCGTTTTGATTTACGCTCTTGGGGGTAAAGTATTTCTAGAATAGAATCTCGCAAATATTTATTGCCTTCTAACAGATATTTAATATGTATTTTCTGGAAGCTGTTTTGATTAGTCATAAGTAAGGTCGATCAAAGACACTGTAGTTCGGTGCAAGCATGGAAAGATCATCTGCGCAATAATACCTTCCTTCCATTCTTCCTTCCTTTCCATCTGTTTGATTGCAAACTATTATCATTTGACCTTGTTAATGTATTTCCACAACAACAAAAAAAAAGCATGGGATCGTCTCCATATTTTTTATCTCATATTCTCTAGGCTTTAAACCTCGTTCACCTCTCTTATCTAATGAAAAACGTTCCTTGGGTACACTTTACCGCCCTGCTGTGAACAATTTATGACACCACACCCCAGAATTCCAAAGATACCTCATTGTGAACTAGTTACGTTTACAAGTAACCTATCTTTACTATTATCTTTAACCATAGTAAGCTTATGAGATACTGTGATTTTACTGTTAAATTATATTTCTAGGTGAGCTTCGACGATATGCACAAATGCAAAGGCACGGCACTGAACTGAACTAACCTTAAGCCTGTCTAGACCAGTCAATAAATCAATTAATTCCATTTTAAGAAAGATAACGTTTTTATTTAAATGGGTGTGTAGATCAGGAAATTCAAATCCTGATAAGCTTTATGTTGCGCACTTTCTTGTTTTTAAAATATTGACACATTGTAATCAAAACAAAATGATTGAGTGCTACCCTACAACACCCAAAGGATGAATAGCGTAAGAATTTTTTTGCGTGCGAGTATGTTTACCAGATATTTCCTTTCACTATCAGGCATCTGGTGCAATAAGTATCGAAAATTTTTAAGCAGAAAAAATGAATTTTCTTTAAAGAAGCAAGAATAAGGTACGAAATAGCAGCGTAAAAGATGCCGTAATCCACCTTAAAACCATTACAGTTCTTCCTAAATCCTTTAAGACTCTCAATAGGGGAGTTTAAGTTACAAATCTCTTTTGTTGTTTTAATGGAACAGTACCAGGTGTTTGATATGATGTGCAGAAGCTTTTCTTATGAGGCAAAACCGGTTCACTTACGTCAATGGTACTATTTTTAACTAAAGATACCGGAAAACAAGAGACCATTCAAGCCGTGTTAGAGCCAGTACTATCCCTATTTTAAATTGTGACTGCAGTGGGATCGCGGACACCAATGAATTGTCAATTGTCGAATCCAAGGTGTGGCATAGGCAACGAAAGCCGATAGAGCACCCTCGAGCAAGCGGCTTGACGTGGGTTACTCTCTCAAAACTGAATGCTTGCCATCTTATTAAAAGAAACCAGTTTTTACTTGCAACATTTTTTTTATTTTCCCCTCGCAGGTCACCGAGAATAGAATTACTTTCTTCTCTTTATAGATTTCAAACCGCAAGAAAACATTGATCATGATTACAAACGCCACAAGAATTTTTGCAGTGTTGATAGCCGAAGGAAATGGCAGCGAGGCCATCTTCATTAGCTTCCTTTTGTGGTTTTTCATCTGATGAATTAAGTTATGGTCGTGCGTTTCTGCACTGATTCACGAAGTAACAAATCGTCTTTTATATAGTTAAATTTGTTATTGCCTCTCCGACGAGTAAGCACTGCCTTGATATATTATTCCTTTCCCTCGATTTTCTCTTTTTCTTTCTAACTGGCTGGAGGCTCTTCAGTAATAAAGAACTTTTAGTAGCCGGGAAAGCTCTTTTTTTTTACCCGGATACCTCAGTATTTCTCAGGTTAAAAATGTGAAAACCCATTACATGTGTAATTAGTTCGAAGGCCAGAAACATTGCTGGGTAAAAGAGTTAAACCGGAAAGGTTTGTGTAATAGTGGGAACAAGGGGAAATGTCCTTACTCAGAGAGGCCCGATTCGTTCCTGAATCTCTTTTAATGTCCAAGGATACAAGTGATAAAACCGATAAATAGTCTACTATCCCCGCGCCCTGTCCGACCCTTTTTGTAAAATTAAGGCTTCCAGTTCAGCATCAACGAACTGATCCACCACAACCAGTGAGTTTCACGCCTTGGGCATGTACATTAGGGATAGGCAAGCAACGCGTGCACAGTTACCACTATAGAGGGGATACGAAAGCGAACCAGTTCCTATCCCTACTAAATTAAATGTTCTAGGAAAAATTTAGGCGAGTCAGCTTCTAAATAAAGACCTCCCTTTCCAGGCATGGCCTCTAGAGAACCTTCATAGCCTGCTGCTATCAATCACTATCGAAAAAGGATTTATTTAAGCTTCGCTTGGGCACAACCGTAAAATTTCGTACAAATGATCACGGAAATCTATTTCGATTTATGATAGCTGTCTAAATTGGAAATTTCTCTGTAAGAAAAAAAGTATTTTTCCTTTTTTTTTTCCTACATAATTTGTAGTGACATTGCATTGGTTTTTACGGTTGCCTTGAATTTCATCTAGGAATCTTAACTGGCTTCTCTACCTCAACGATCCCTAGTGAATCGCAGTGCCGAAAGCTTGTACCCCTCTAGTTTATAGAGTGTGTAATTTTTTAATTAACGCCATCGAACAGGATGGTTGGAGAAAAAAAATCTTCAGTTTTTTTCCCTGAACAGATACGTTTTTCTCTGGGGGCTGTAGAAAACCATCTAAAAGCAACCCATGTTTCAATGATAAACACAAAAGTTAATAAAGATCTCTGTGTAGTTTGTGCCATTTCTCAATGTGCCTGCTTGGAGATTCGATCATCGATTTCCACTGTTCCTGTCCAGATCCAAATGAATCAAACCCAAGAATTACTGTTCCAAGACTTCCTCCTCCAACGTTGATCTCCGTATGATTAACAATCTTGAGCACAACGGTAGTGAGGGAAATCAGGTCAGCGGAAACATTGAAGTTGAATTTCTCATTGTACACGGGATTGAGGCTCCTCCGCTTGACGCGCGTGTTCGCTTTAGACATGCGCNAATTTTTTAATTAACGCCATCGAACAGGATGGTTGGAGAAAAAAAATCTTCAGTTTTTTTCCCTGAACAGATACGTTTTTCTCTGGGGGCTGTAGAAAACCACCTAAAAGCAACCCATGTTTCAATGATAAACACAAAAGTTAATAAAGATCTCTGTGTAGTTTGTGCCATTTCTCAATGTGCCTGCTTGGAGATTCGATCATCGATTTCCACTGTTCCTGTCCAGATCCAAATGAATCAAACCCAAGAATTACTGTTCCAAGACTTCCTCCTCCAACGTTGATCTCTGTATGATTAACAATCTTGAGCACAACGGTAGTGAGGGAAATCAGGTCAGCGGAAACATTGAAGTTGAATTTCTCATTGTACACGGGATTGAGGCTCCTCCGCTTGACGCGCGTGTTCGCTTTAGACATGCGCACACCGTCGCAATACAGAGCAAGCTTGACGTACGGGTCTAGGGATAAAATAAAACAAAAATAAGTGAAAGTTTTTACTAGTTTGCAGTAAACTATTACCCTAGAGCGTGAATCCCTTATAACCGTTGAAATGCAGCGTGTTAAATTTTCAGGCAGTGTTCATAGATCCATCTTTCACAAAAAGAATCTTTCGGCCAATCAGAGCAAAGTAGGATTTGCACCGGCGGCGGATAAGATCACTGAAATGTCTAGCGAAATTAATTGCGTTTGCAAAAAATTTAAAGTGGACAGCTGTGAGCCTCTATCTAGACAACAGACTACCATACTGAGTGTTGAAGCATTAGAAGCCGATTGACCCTCTGGGGTGCAAGGCTCATACAGATAACTGTAGGAAAACACATATGGTATTAGAAATATAACCAGGGAGCATAGACAACCTCGTCTACAGGCGTTTTCCCGCCCTTCCCATTTTTTAAGGGAAAAGCCCTGGGGCCCGTTTCTCGAAAGTCCCGATAATTAACGGGCCCAGTAAGCTGTCTCCGTTTACATTAAAGATCGAGGTTTCAATAGTTTTGCATCTAACATGATAAAACTGTCAGTTAATGAAACAAAATGGAGTAGTTTGCTGGCCAGGACCGGCGCTCTTATTCTTTATATTTCGATTTGAATATTTGATTTCGGGCCCGTAAAATTACCGGGATTTTCGAGAAACGGGCCCCTGGACCTCCTGCCCAGGGGACAAGGTTCATGATGGAGGCATAGATGACCATAGAATATCTAGTTGGCAACATTATTTTGTTCCTTAATTGCAAGACAACACGTGGAAAAAAAACTTGGAATTAGATCAAATGTTGCTGCCAGCGTTTATTTACCTGTCCGGTCGACTGTTGCCTTTGGCAATCCACGAATTTTTGTGATAGTTATGATAAGGCGACCGCTGATTGGACGAAAACACAAAGATACACAAAGTTCACCCAAGTCTCCAGCTTCCGTCTGCAAAAATAAAGGGATAACGAAGCCGTCTGGGGACTTAAAATTTTCATATCAACAATGCACATTGACTAGATTAGGAGTTTTACTCTTAAAACATTTTCCCTTTGGACTGTAAAGAAATACCTGTAAATTACTCTGTGCATTTTGATTAGCCCTACGTAGCCCTAATATGTGTAGTAGGCGAATGAAGAAAATAGGGCCCGAAAAAGAGTATGCGCCTGCTACTTAATACCTCTGTACAATTTTAGTTTAAATCATTATTTAACTGTTAGAAATCGGATCAACACCCGGGATCAAACACGTAAAATATAAAATAAGGTGGAACTCATTATACGACGATAATACAACTACCGTCAGAACATGAAAATTTGGTGGCATGAAAGAGGTGCAGTCTTATTAGGTCGTATTAGCCATTCTGATTAATTTTCATGAGTCAAATGTTACACATACTGGATGCAGAAACCTGGCAGTTTTTAGCAGGGCAGGAACAGGGACAAAATTACACCAAAATTGGGAAGGGGAAGCCAGAGATGAAGAAATTGTGGTCACTAAAATGGCACAAACTGTATTGATATTAGGGCTATCCCTCCCAGTGCCACTGTTGGTCTTCGACCCTCCCTACTCCTCCCCCACCCGATGTCAAAAACTAATCTTGATCCCAGACCTCTCCTCTATAAGCTATTTTGGTCCCAGACCCCCAACGTTCAGGTCTACCCTTTTTCTTGAGCTTTCCGGATTTAACAGAAAGCTTGTATGCTGCATTGCGATACAACATCGCCTGAACGTCCCATTTCCCTTAATAACGCCAGCCTCTTACCCCTAAAGGAACTGGAGGATTGAGGTTCAACCACTTGGTGATCGAAAAGGAAGGACTGTTCTCAATCAACTTCAGCTCTGACAAGGGGAACAGAATCTCTCCAATGATATCATCACCATAACGCTCTTTGAATGTGTCGTGAAAATTGACAATTCTGAACTTCAGTTCGTACTCTTTGATTCTGTCCTTTGAAAAACCCGAAATAACAAAGGTTTCGTTAAATACAGGATCCGGAGTCCCCTCGATGACCTTTGTTCGCTGCCAACAGAACTGCTGAGGAAGCAATGATAATTTCACCATGGGATTGATACCCTCTTTATTGTCTGTAATTGGAAGGTTGGTTGCTTTGATAATATTCACTTGTAGTTCATTTTTTAAGACGTTATAATGAAGTGCAAAGCGGATTCTTCCCCGGCGACCTTCTGTATCACTAGGCGATGGTGGTTTATTCTCTGATATTAAGCCAAACTCTTTGAGATCTATCTCTTTTGAGCTGTCATGCCCTTGTTTTTCTGGAGTTGCCTGTTTGTTTTCTTTCTTTCTTTTTGCGGGGCTATTCTCTTCACCAGAAATGCCAGAATCCTTCTCGTTTTTTACTCCCTTCTCTTCTCTATCTACTTCATCTTCCGATTTATCCAGATTATCCTCAAGTGACGCATGCGTACTTGAGTCGGTTTCCTCAACATCCGGGGAGTCAATTGTTGATTTCTCACGTGACCTGTTCTCAGTATCATCTTCGGATATGGAACTATCATCATAGTTGGTCTTGACATCGCCATTTATGGCCTCACTAGTAAAATTACATAATCTGTGGTAGTAATATCTCGCTTGAGCTGGGCCAGAAAAACCTCGATTTTTCGTTTCTTGAACATTCAAGGAAACGGTTTTTGGAAACGAGGAGTCAACAAGCCTTTCTCCCAGCACTACTTGGATTTTTTCCGCTTCTTTTTCAGCGTCTGTTTTTGACTTTTCCTTCGTCATTCGTTTGTAAGCGCTGACACCGAGAACTATAAATCCATAACCGATAGCAAAGCCCAGAAGAACAGGGAAAATAAGAATTCCCAGCAAGCATAGTAATCCTGTGTTATTGGATGCAAAGCGGGTTACATAACTGGATGATTGTGGTTTACTTCGGGGATCAAAATCTGAAATAAACAGATAAACACATTGTGAGTGTTAAGTATTTGCAGAGGAGATTTTGTTTTAGCATGTTTATACTTTAAGAGAGACAGAAACAAATTTTGTTTGTTTAACATAAGACAACTGTCATTGGTTCATAATCATTTTTCCACATTCATGGCCGTTATCGAGTTACTTGCAACTGTTCCGAGAAAAAATTACGTCAGTCTTAGACGCACCATGGACTGGCTCTAGTCAATGACAACAATTGCACTTAAGAATTGTAAGGTTTCCTCCCGGAGCTGATTTTTTTTAGTTTCAGTTTGCAATTTAGCAAGAGGTAAAAATCGTTAAGCCCCGTGCAAACGGACGCAACATTGTTGAGAGATGTTGCGTCAGTTTGCACTGGTTTCAAACTTTGCGCAACCAACTCTCAACAACACGCAACAAAATGTAACAGGGTGTCCAAACTCACGCAACATGCAACATCCAAGAATGTTGGGAGTTGTTGGCCAACAATGTTGCGTCCGTTCGCACGGGGCTTTTATAACTGCAGTTTTCAAACAATAGAGGTCGTGGCCGATCACGTGATGGTGTAATTTGAGATTCTTTTTCTAGTGTTCTATTTTGAGTTTACCATTCGCTTTCTCCTTAAACTTTGATTTCTGGAAAATCTGCTTAAGAATAACAAGTGATACAGCACCATGCCTTAATCTTCTTGAGCCATGCATGGTTTAAAAGTGACGTCACTTAACTGAATCTCAAGCGTAATAAAAGCATCTGAGAATTTCCGGTCGACTGTTGCCTTTGGCAATCCACGAATTTTTGTGATAGTTATGATAAGGCGACCGCTGATTGGACGAAAACACAAAGATACACAAAGTTCACCCAAGTCTCCAGCTTCCGTCTGCAAAAATAAAGGGATAACGAAGCCGTCTGGGGACTTAAAATTTTCATATCAACAATGCACATTGACTAGATTAGGAGTTTTACTCTTAAAACATTTTCCCTTTGGACTGTAAAGAAATACCTGTAAATTACTCTGTGCATTTTGATTAGCCCTACGTAGCCCTAATATGTGTAGTAGGCGAATGAAGAAAATAGGGCCCGAAAAAGAGTATGCGCCTGCTACTTAATACCTCTGTACAATTTTAGTTTAAATCATTATTTAACTGTTAGAAATCGGATCAACACCCGGGATCAAACACGTAAAATATAAAATAAGGTGGAACTCATTATACGACGATAATACAACTACCGTCAGAACATGAAAATTTGGTGGCATGAAAGAGGTGCAGTCTTATTAGGTCGTATTAGCCATTCTGATTAATTTTCATGAGTCAAATGTTACACATACTGGATGCAGAAACCTGGCAGTTTTTAGCAGGGCAGGAACAGGGACAAAATTACACCAAAATTGGGAAGGGGAAGCCAGAGATGAAGAAATTGTGGTCACTAAAATGGCACAAACTGTATTGATATTAGGGCTATCCCTCCCAGTGCCACTGTTGGTCTTCGACCCTCCCTACTCCTCCCCCACCCGATGTCAAAAACTAATCTTGATCCCAGACCTCTCCTCTATAAGCTATTTTGGTCCCAGACCCCCAACGTTCAGGTCTACCCTTTTTCTTGAGCTTTCCGGATTTAACAGAAAGCTTGTATGCTGCATTGCGATACAACATCGCCTGAACGTCCCATTTCCCTTAATAACGCCAGCCTCTTACCCCTAAAGGAACTGGAGGATTGAGGTTCAACCACTTGGTGATCGAAAAGGAAGGACTGTTCTCAATCAACTTCAGCTCTGACAAGGGGAACAGAATCTCTCCAATGATATCATCACCATAACGCTCTTTGAATGTGTCGTGAAAATTGACAATTCTGAACTTCAGTTCGTACTCTTTGATTCTGTCCTTTGAAAAACCCGAAATAACAAACGTTTCGTTAAAAACAGGATCCGGAGTCCCCTCGATGACCTTTGTTCGCTGCCAACAGTACTGCTGAGGAAGCAATGATAATTTCACCATGGGATTGATACCCTCTTTATTGTCTGTAATTGGAAGGTTGGTTGCTTTGATAATATTCACTTGTAGTTCATTTTTTAAGACGTTATAATGAAGTGCAAAGCGGATTCTTCCCCGGCGACCTTCTGTATCACTAGGCGATGGTGGTTTATTCTCTGATATTAAGCCAAACTCTTTGAGATCTATCTCTTTTGAGCTGTCATGCCCTTGTTTTTCTGGAGTATCCTGTTTGTTTTCTTTCTTTCTTTTTGCGGGGCTATTCTCTTCACCAGAAATGCCAGAATCTTTCTCGTTTTTTACTCCCTTCTCTTCTCTTTCTACTTCATCTTCCGATTTATCCAAATTATCCTCAAGTGACGCATGCGTACTTGAGTCGGTTTCGTCAACATCCGGGGAGTCAATTGTTGATTTCTCACGTGACCTGTTCTCAGTATCATCTTCGGATATGGAACTATCATCATAGTTGGTCTTGACATCGCCATTTATGGCCTCACTAGTAAAATTACATAATCTGTGGTAGTAATATCTCGCTTGAGCTGGGCCAGAAAAACCTCGATTTTTCGTTTCTTGAACATTCAAGGAAACGGTTTGTGGAAACGAGGAGTGAACAAGCCTTTCTCCCAGCACTACTTGGATTTTTTGCGCTTCTTTTTCAGCGTCTGTTTTTGACTTTTCCTTCGTCATTCGTTTGTAAGCGCTGACACCGAGAACTATAAATCCATAACCGATAGCAAAGCCCAGAAGAACAGGGAAAATAAGAATTCCCAGCAGGCATAGTAATCCTGTGTTATTGGATGCAAAGCGGGTTACATAACTGGATGATTGTGGTTTACTTCGGGGATCAAAATCTGAAATAAACAGATAAACACATTGTGAGTGTTAAGTATTTGCAGAGGAGAGTTTGTTCGGTGGAATAAGATAATAAAGTTGGTTTTGTTTTACCATGTTTATGCTTTAAGAGAGACTGAAGCAAATCAACTGTCATTGGCTCATAATCATTTCTCCTGCGCTTAGCCTCAGCTTCGATTTTACCGTAAATTCATGGCTGTTATCGAGTTACGTGCAACCCGTTGCTAGGATGAATTACGTCTCAGACTCACCGTGGACTGGCACTAGTCAATGACAACAATTCGTTGCACTTTAAAATTGCAAGGTTTCCTCCCGGAGCTGATTTTCCTGTTAGTTTCATTCTTTTGATACCAAGAGACTGAAGTTGCACATTTAGCAAGGGGTGGAAATCGTTAAGCCTCGTGCAAACGGACGCAACAGTCTTAGGAGTTATTGCGTCAGTTTGCACTGGTTTCAAACTTTGCGCAACCGACTCTCAACAACACGCAACAAAATGTAACAGGGTGTGCAAACTGACGCAACATGCAACATCCAAGAATGTTGGGAGTTGTTGGCCAACAATGTTGCGTCCGTTCGCACGGGGCTTTTATAACTGCAGTTTTCAAACAATAGAGGTCCTGGCCGATCACGTGATGGTGTAATTTGAGATTCTTTTTCTAGTGTTCTATTTTAAGTTTACCATTCGCTTTCTCCTTAAATTTTGATTTCTGGAAAATCTGCTTAAGAATAACAAGTGATACAGCACCATGCCTTAATCTTCTTGAGCCATGCATGGTTTAAAAGTGACGTCACTTAACTGAATCTCAAGCGTAATAAAAGCATCTGAGAATGTACTAAGGAAATCACTAAATGTAGCGATAAGAGAACAACAACGACAACAACAAAAAACAAAATGAGTAAGAAGAAACAAGGTTAAAAATATCGGCAATGACTCCTTAAAAAGCTTATCTTATGGAATTAACCCATAACACGATTACACCTGAGCAATGTTACATCTGAATACGATAAAAAAGCAGTATACACAAGCCGGAGATTATATGGTGGTATCTTAATCTGCCAGAACTTTCGTTTCAGTCTTATTGGCGGCTGGTGAATTACTTAAAAACTGGCGAATTTGCTTAAAATAGGCCTTTAGCAGTTTTTCAAGGTGTGCAAACGGCAGTTAGATTTGACAAACAAAATATATATTCTATATTTACATCCTGGCTGTTGCGATTTTGATATCCGCTGTTATCGTTAAATTCAGCACGTCTCTTGAATACATTTAGAATTTTTAGACTTAATTTGTCGAACTTGGTTTTAGCAAAATATCCCTACATTTATCATCCCTATCTGAACCGTAAAAGAAAAATTATCCTCTATTTTCCTTTAGTAAATCATTAAGCGGATTTCACATCTCTCCCGCTGTCCGGTCTTCGACAAAATTTTAATCGGCAGAGAACTTCGAAATCAAAGTTTTATTACCGAAGAAAAATGAACAGTAGCAATTGCAATGGATTATATAGAAGCGGTTAACTGATATAAGAACTAAATTTCTTACCACGCTTCTTGCGATTATTGTTTTCTCCTACAAAGGGCTTGTAAAGTTGCTGTGCCTTTGGCAAAATTGGTGCCATTAAAGCTCTTCGAACATACACTAAACTATAATCCCAGATTTAACGCGAATTTTAACTTCAAGACAATGACAACCAGCTTCAAAGTCTTCCTTCAACTTTCCAGTAATGAACAAGGTTGTTAAAACCAGACTTGAACTTCATACTACAGGTTTAAATTGATCAGAATCCGTGATAATTTTGCGAAATTGCCTTCCTGTGATTTTGAATATTTCACCATATATTTGCATTTGAATAGTTTGACGTGTCTGTTTATTTTTTAACTCAACTAAAATATTTTATTGCACTAATTTATACAGGTGGAATTTGCAAACGAAGATTTTAAAAAGAATTTAATAACAAACTGAATAAATAATAAATGCCCTCTTCTGAGCAACAAGAAACAACAGTGTTGTTTCTATTTAAGCCTGACAAGATTATTCAGTTGCTGATTCAGGTTCTAGGTCACTCGGTTCTCTATAAAAGGTGGTTGACCATTAGTACTCTTGAAAAGGGTGTTTTCGGCTTAACACCTTAACGGAAGATATCATTGCATTGGCTGGAAGGCCGCTCGATTAAGGTCTTTTCTCACGATTAATGCTAATGAACCGTTGTTTCTGTACTATTGCCTTCAAACGCCCTTGGTTTGCAACTGTTTTCATGGTTTTAGGGATCGGGTGCAGTTTTATACGCTAATAAATGCATTCCATGCATGTAAACTTTGCATAATTGCGAGTGCGGCTGGGCTATTGGGACTTATTTAGTGCCTTGCAACCAAAGTCATATATAATGATCACAAGCCATAGACGCGCACAATGATCATACTAAAACCCCAGGTGAATACAGGTTGTCTCTTCCATGGAAACAAAGGTATAATACAGGAGCGGATCCACCCCGGTTTCCAAAGTTCTACGAAAATCTGTCATATTTTCCATAATAGATATATTCATTAATGAATGAAAAACTTGCCAAGTTTCAAGGCTTCACTCAAGGTGAGTGGAACTGACCAATATCCTCTCTGAATGACTCGGAAACCCAGGAAAGTGGGCTTAGGGAGTAAGAATCTAAAAACCTTCCCTGGGGTGCATGTCCCCCAACCCCCACAGAAGTTTGCGCCTTCGGCTGTCGTTTAGGAAATCGGTCAGTATTTATCCTAGATCCGCGTCCAAAAGGCATCTTTCCAGTTGCCTGTGAGCTTTAAAGTACGAAGTATTTGAGTGACATAAATAATGCAAAAACGCATATTCTTAGAAAATTTTCCGCACAGTGGCCTAGTAAGTCGACTGTTTACGCATTAGTCGTTTGCAGACTTTGGGTAGTTAACTTGCACAGCAATGAAAGATTGCAAGTTTTCAACTCACGACAAGGCTGCCATGTTGATTGATTAAATTTCTTTCAGCTGGGAACTTAACTGTCAAAATTTTTATGGAAATTCTACGGGAAAAATTTGTATTGTCTTGTCAACCAATATGGCCGTCTTGTCACGTGGTTGAAGACCAAGTAAAGGCCGGGCCATTTCCAACTTGCCCCAAGCCTCTGTTTTAAAGCGAGGCCAAGCGAGGCTAAGTACAAAGCCATTTATATAAAAATGATTTTTTTGTTTTCATGCAAATATCACTCATTTTCACAAGAAAGGTTTTGCACTTCGCCCCGTTTTGAAAGTGATAGTGTTTGGAAGTCGGAAATGGCCGATTCTATCATTTGTCCTATTAGCGCTTCGGCTGTAATGATGTTAGCGCATCATCATTGTTTTCTACAGTTTGGCATGTGCGATTAAAAGGCTAACAAAGAAAGCTTCCTATTGCCAACTGTAGAACAACTGGCACATCTACTTGCGTCCTCGTTTTCCGAGGAAGCCGCCGTCACCTACATACACTTTTGTCAGTGGTAGAGTAAGGAACTGTGCTAACAAAACATAAAGACCCAAAAGTTCACAGCCTCTTAATAACTGGTTGATCGAAAACGTCAGCTGAAAAAGTATGTAGAGAATCACGTTCTGCACCAATAAAAAACGAAACTAGACTCAAACGGTTGAGCGCATTTTCACCTGAATTTCGAAACATGTTTAGTTAAACAAAGTTGAGTTAGACAACTCAATAAATTAAGTTGTCAAAAAGGTTCTGTTCATCAATTTTCAGTGGCGGATCCAGGCCCTCAGATGGGGGGGGGGGGGGGGGGGGGG